GCCCCCTCCCCCCTGACGGTTCAGGAGCCGTCTGTTCTCCCCACACACGCACGCACGCTGGTGAAAGTGCTGGCTTTGCGCACGACTAGCGCCACTAAACCTGCTCTTGCATGTCCCCGTGTTTTGACCCTACACTAGGTTTGAATTTGTGTCCTAGATCCGCAGCTTGGCCAGTGATCTGACCCCTTTGTGCTGCGGTGTTGGCACCTATGAGGCCTCACCACGTCCCTTTCCACACCCTAGGTGGAGAGAGCAGGAACAATTTGTGTAGCGGGGGTGCTGAGAGACATTGAACCGAACTGGAAACCCTACACATGATGGAAACTTCTTGATGGTGGCCAGGAGAGGTTTCCATCATATGCAGGGTTTCCTGTTTGGTGAGGTGTTAAGGGTGTTTTAATCCTGATGCTGTAGCCAGTTGCAAGTGGCCTGCTTGACTTTCAAAGCAGGTGACAGTGTCATAGGGTGTGATAGAGATGTAGCCGTGTTAGTCTGCTGTAGCTGAAACAAAATACAGGACTATGTAGCACTTTAAGGACTAACAAGATGGTTTATTAGATGATGAGCTTTCGTGGGCCAGACCCACTTCCTCAGATCAAATAGTGGAAGAAAATAGTCACCGGCACTGCTCTGGCAGCCAGTGGACTTTCTGCAGAAAGGATCCTGATTGGTGCCCTTTATGATACTGATACTGCTACCTCAAGCTCATATTGGGCTGGCAGCCTTCAATTCAGCAAAACACAAGGCATCCTTGTTTGTGGGAATTAGACTGGGTAATTTAAGACTGTAAAGATCAGTAGTTTGTCTGAAGGAGGAATATTGTCCAAGATTGCAGTTGATTTTGAACTGCAGGGTAATTAAGGAGCTACCATTTACTGAATCATCCCAGAAAGCAGAGGGCTGGTTTGTTTTTAACTGTGTATGCTCCACCCCTTCATAGAACCATAGAGCTGGAAGAGACCTTAGAACACCAACAAGTCCAGCCCCCTGCCCAAGGCAGGACCGATCCCAATTAAATCAACTCATTAAAGAGCTGGAATGTTTTGGTGGGGCAAGAGGGGATTTAATAAAGTCTACCTGCTTTTGACTTCACAGAAGGATAGACCTAAGTTTGGATCTCCCTGATATGGTTACCAGGTCGAAAGGATGAAGAACAATACTTTGTAGGGCTCTCTGCAAATGGGCTACCTAATGTTTCTGAGAATCTTCATTCAGTTACAAAAGAGCAGAACTTTGGATAGATTACAGATGTCACAATATCAGCGATATTGTAGGATCGTATCCTATCCCCAATTTGTGCCTTCCCTGTTGCATGACCATATTCAGCTTTTGTAAGTACACTAATAGGAGTCATCCACATTCTTCAGTGAGATGGTCTCCTGCATTTTGCTGTTTCATTATACTACTGCATTAATTCCTTTATCCATTTTGCTTGGCTGCATCTTTCCCTTTCCCAGATTTCCTTGCACCTAATATCCTGCATCTAATGATCTGATCTACTTGCTGTCATTTGCTTTTTGGATGGTTTTAAATTTTCTAGTGACTGGCTCTGATGACACGATTTCTAGCATTGTTTTCTTTGACGTTCCTGAAGAGTTCTATGTCATTCTCTTGCTTTGGAACTTCTCACTTCAAAGTAAATCTGACACAAATTAACTGTGTGTGTTAGAATCCTGCTGTATGGATTGAATCTGATCGCATTATCCTACATGAAGAAGCCTGGGATAAATTGAAAAATAAAAATAAACGAATACTTCTAGCTTGGAAAGAGCACAGTCTGTATAGCTGACTAAATTCACTCAGCAAGGACAAGGGCCAAATTGTTCCCTGATTTAAGACCCAATCTGATTCCTTATTAAAATCCATTTGAGTCTTTCCATTGACTTTAGTGGATGTTGGATCAGGCTTTTAAAAGACTTAACATAATCTCTCTTTATCCTTTGATGTCAAAATGCTTCACAAAGTTATCTTTGTTATACTGCTAATATTTGTATTAAAATCTGCACCATTGCACTGGCGTGAGAATCCGACGTAAGTCGGGGACTGCCTGTACTGCTAATATTTGTATTAAAATGTGCACCATTGCACTGGCGTGAGACCTAGGGCAGAGTTTGGTTCCCTGTGTTAAGCAGCAGAGATAATGTTACCCATATGTGTTCATGCACACTTTCTGCCTTTTTCCTCTCCTGTTCTGTTTAGATGTGATAGTTGATGTTCCTGGCCATGGGAAAGTGGTGGTCGATATTGGATATGGTGGTGCTTTCTATGCCTTTCTCAGTGCTGAGAGATTGGGCTTAGATGTTTGCTCTTCAGCGACTAAGGATCTTGTAGATGCAGCAAGTGCAGTAACAGAAGCAGTAAAGAGACAGGTATAGCAGGATGCCACTATACCCCAAATACTTTTCTAATAAAGTAGTAATACTGCAAATGAAGGTTTTTCTCACAGAGGAGACTATTGATGACATTTTAAATTCCATTTACAGAATTCCAACAAAGAGTAAATATCAAAGTAGATTTTCTCAGATGTTTGTGGGTGTGATCACTTTGCCTCTGTTAAATTTACCTTAAACTGTTGATTTTGGTTGCTAGAAACAGGCTGAATAATCCACACAGATAAACAGAGGTGCTGGGAAGTGGAGGAGTATGGTGTGGTGTGTCCAGCTGCAAATAAAAACTTTTTACAGCTACAGAAAACTACACCGCACGACTTGCTTCAGGAACTTAGGCACTTCCCTACTAGATCAGACAAAGGTCCACCCAGTCCAGTATTTTGTGTGTGTCAGTAGCCAGCCCTAGCTGCTTCAGAGGACAGTGTGAGAATCCTTCAGTAATAATCTGAAGGATAATTTGCTTCCCATATTAGGTCTTGGCATACACTGTACTGTGAAGCGAGTGCATTGCTATGCTTTGGGATGTATCTAGCAATATTAGGCAATGTGTAAGTCATGTAGCTGTCACACGCATGCATCACATCAGGTGTTCAATGCAAATAGTTTGTGGAATTGGGCATTACTTATAGGAGCTTAATTTAATGTTTTCGTCACTGTAGAAGATGTTATAGTCTCCATCTGATCTGTATTGTTTTTGTTTTGACGCACTTTCTGTATCCCTCTTTAAGGGGGGGGGACATAAAGTTTTAGCCATGTTCTATATTTCCCATGCTTCAGTTGTCTTACTGCATTACTGAATTGCAGATGCTCTGTTTACAGAACATAACTATTATAATACTTGGATAATATTTATCATCTCTGTAGGAATTTACATTTTCAAAACTCTGTACATATAGTAGACTTTACAATATCCATATAAGGTGGGCAGATATCCTCATTTTACTGATAAGGAAACCTCTTCATCTCAGTGTGCTTCAAATAAGGGCTTGTGCACATTTGCACTTCCTTCGATATAACTTAAGTCTCTTGGGGGTATGGAGAAGCCACTGCCACAGCTACTGCCACTGGGGGAGGTAGAATAATTGTGCCAATGGGAGAGTTCTCCTGTCAGGATAAAGCTCCTGTGCTAGCAGCTACTGCTGCATTGTACAACTGTGCCACTGTAGTAATTCTGGTGTAGACTAGCCCTAATCCAAAATCAGAGCCCCAGCTGAGAACTCTGGAGTTGCTAGTATCAGTCTACTATACTCAATGATTGACTGGAGTTGCTAGTATCAGTCTACTATACTGCCTTCTGAATGATTGGTCTTACTGAAAAGTGTGTAATATTAGCATATTATTCATTTGAATTTTGTATTTAGGTATTCATAAAGGCTTCAGGAGTGTCCATATTTAGAATTAAGCTCTGCAGTAGACCCTCTGAGTGCCTGCAATGTTTGCATCTCCCACTTCCCACATCTCTGTTGCCCCAGCCATCAACAACACACTGATGGTTTCTTATCAAGCAGATATTAGACCTGACAAATGCATCTTGAACAGATCAAGAAATCAGTGAAGTCAAATCCTGAAGAAATGCCAGTGTTTGAAGACATTCCATAGTTCCACAATGTCTGTAGTGAACACAAGATAAAGAACAACAAATATTCTTGCAGCACCTTAGAGACTAACACAAAATGTAGATGGTATCATGAGCTTTTGTGGGCACCAGAAGATAAAGAAGTTACTGTTCTCACTAATGAGCATCAGTTTATCTGTGGGATAGAGATAACTGGTTACTGTTCTCACTAATGAGCATCAGTTTGTTATCTGTGGGATAGAGATAACTATCCCCAAGTCTCCTCTATGGAGTGGTTAAAATGGTACATTTATACTTGTGTGTATGCCCACCTCAGTCATCTTGTAAAAATCTTACTGCTATTTAACTGAAAATATTTGATTGCCATCTATGTATGTATATCCATTCTGTGTGTTATTCCTAGTTTAAACTTCATCACCCTGACAGCGAAGAGCTTGCTTTCCTTTACGGCACTATTTTAACAGATGGAAAAGATGCATTTAATGAGGAGCCAACAACCAACATCTGTGTGTTTGCAGATGCACAGGTATGAAAATATGTTACTTTAAGAGACACAAGATAAATAATTCCCGGTTTTGTGTGTGTGTTGAGAGAGCAGAATTAATTACTGTTCTCCAAAGGCATTGTCATTGTTTTTGAAGTGTCATCTGTTCCTTAACAGTAAACTATTTCAGTACAGACCGGAAGTGGGTAAATACTTCTGCAAACATGAGATGCTTTCTCTAAGGATTTAACATGTGTTTACTAGGTGAAACTCTCCCAATTGTCACAAGGGAATTATCTAGAGAATATTGTTAGAATCTAGAGCAACTAAATTCTGAATGTGCGTGATTATCTGCAAGTGCTATAGGCCTGAATATAACATGAGCTTATAATACTTTCAGTAATTATGAATCTAGAGCAACTAAATTCTGAATGTTCGTGATTATCTGCAACTGCCATAGGCCTGAATATAACATGAGCCTATAATACTTTCACTAATTAAGAATATTGTCAAACTAGGACCACTCATTCATAGTATTTTGCTGAACAGAAATATAGTCTCAAAGTGCCACTTAGTTCCTTTAGTGCTTCTCAGCCTGTTTACAGAAGCAGGAAATGCCCATACCTTTAATAATATGGAGTATGGTTTGCTAGGGAGAGTGTACGTGTCACGTTTTTAATAAAAGACGAAAATACAAAAACTAGCTTAATGTTTTATTTTTTTAATTAGGTCGACCGAAGTCCTACAGGCTCAGGTGTGACTGCCCGCATTGCCTTACAATACCATAAGGGACTCATCCAGATGAATCAGACCAGAACCTTTAGAAGCAGCTCAACTGGTTCCTTGTTCACTGGAAAAGCAGTGAAGGCAAGGAGCAAATGCCTTTTTTTCCCCCGTGTCTCTTTATGGTGTTTTTGTGAATTTGCTGCTTGTGCCAGTGAGGAACTAACAGGACGGGCATAATGCAACTGTCTACAAAGAATTCTGCCACTGGAGTCACTTCTGATCTGTAGCAACCCTATCTTTTCAGCCCTGGGCCTATTTTCAGCAGAGATGCCAAGTCTTAACATGCTGCTCTCTGAACACAATTTGCCATGGATAAATAGGGATGAGGTTCACAAGACAAGTGATCTTTCCATTGTGATCATAGGATGTACAAGAAAGAAATTCACAGATGATACAAAATTGGAAGGAGCTAAGGAGGGAGGAATAATTCAGAGACTTATAATTAGGAATATAGAAAATAATAACAATTAGATTTAAAATGGGGGGAAGGGAAGAGGAAGATGGGGGAAATAATCCAAACCAGCCATATTAAGTGCAACAAAGCAAAGAAGTAGAGCTGCTGAAAGAGACTTGGGGTGTTGGCCAACACCAGATCAGAGATGCACTTGAGTGATGTGTCAGGGAAAAAAAATTCTGTGCAGTTTTGCGCTCTTTATATAAAGACATCTCATCAGACGACAGTGATGTATGTATGGCTTTAATATGGTTAGAGCTGGAATCTTGCCTTCTGCTCTTGGCACTTTTTCACTAAAGAAAGATTTCCAGCTTAGATGAAGTTGAGTGAAGAGCGCCAGCAATGCGGGCTAGTGAGACTGATTTCCAGAAAAGACTGGGTCAAGTTGCACGACAATTAAAGAGAAAAACAAGAGGTTTTATACCGGGATAGGTAAAATACAGCCTGTGGGGCCATGGTCACACCTGCCACTCAAAGCAACTGGCTTCTTGGGGCAGCAGCCCTCCACCTGCTTCACACACTCACAAGCACTGCTCTTGCAACTTCTATTGGCCGGTTTCTAGATGTCTTGAGCAGCATGTGCGGCAGCCAAGGAGCCTGCCTGAAGGTCCCGCTAGGCTGCCAGCTGTGAGCTGTCTATGGTAAAAATCTTCTGGTCAGAGCTTGGACGTGGCACCCCTTCCCACATCCTAGCCCCTGCCCCAGGTCACAACCCCCTCCTACACCCAAACTTCCTCCATGACTCTGGACCCTTCCCCTAGTGAAAACCCCCCCTCATGAATCCAAACCTTGCACCACCTCCAGTAATATCATAGAAAAGTGCAGCCCCTGACCACTTACCAAATTCTTGGGAGTGGCCCCCCATCGAAAATTATATAGCCCTGCAATATGCATTGGGCTGAGGCAAATGGGAGGAAATTGGGATGGGAATGTTTGTGAATGTCAGAAAAATCTTGCCAACAGAGCTGTTGGACTGGGAAAGGGAAGGAGCCAAGCCTCGATGGCAGACTTGTCAAAGGTGACTGCGGTTCTACTTTCAATGCAAAACTATTAACAAAACTAATAAGCAAATCCCATAAGTTGAGGCCATGTCACTGCTACAGGTTGTCGGGAAAACTTAGGTAGTTCTAGGATTTGAGCAAAACACAACTCTGAGCAATGTAAGTTTCACAGGTATAAGTGATAGTGTGGACTGTGTTATGTCGGCGAGAGACCTGCTTCTGCTGACATAGCTATCGCCATTTGGTGGAGGTAGCTCAATTGTTGACAGGAAAGCTCACTCCTGTTAACATACAGCAGCTAAATGAGAGATCTTACAGCAGTATAGCTGTACTGGTACAACTTTGCCACTGGAAGGCTATATAGACATGGCCTTAAACTGATGTCTGTTCTTGTGGCAGTAGGGTTGTCTTGCCTTCCTCGAGCTCTCAGCAGAAGTCGTCACGAGCTACTAGTTCAGGTCTGTTATACAGCAGCCTAACCCTTCTTGCTTGTTAGCTGATCACTTAGTCCAAGCCATTGTCAAAGTGTGGCTCACGAAGGCCTGGTCTGCTATGCTGACTTAACTCCCAGTATAGGAGAGTTGTATCTGAGTACATACACACCCTCTTGCTGCAATTGCAGTTGGTCAGAGCTGAGGGACACACAGGAAAGTGATGTGATTGGTGACATGGACTTTATTGTACTTTACTTACTGTGCAGAAATACTCTTTGTAAACAGGGAAGAATCCTCTTTAATGCCTGCTCAACTTAAATGTAAACCTTTTCTCTTTTCAGGAAGCAAAGTGTGGTGACTATAATGCTGTTGTAGTAGAAGTCTCAGGAGAAGCCTTTTATACTGGAACAGCAACTTTCGTTGTTGAAGAAGAGGATCCACTGAAATATGGATTTTCTGTAAAGTAACCTTTGCCATCATTCAACTGCCAGCTTTTAAATAGTACCCAATATTGAAAAGATTATCTTTACAGTCTGTGAGGGAGGAAAATATAAACACACCAGATTTACTTAGCTCCTATTTTCCTGATAGACTGCCGTGTCTGTGGATGGTTTAAAACAAGTTCATTTAAATATCCTAGAGCAGGGCTAAAAACTCATGGTGGTATGACTGTATTACAAGTACAGATCACAAGCCACATTATTCTGTAGTGATTAGTATGTATTATACAAGTCCATGTCTGATTTGAACCTGAATTTACCATTACATTCCAAATGCTAGATGGTAAATAATGCTAAGCTTGAAGGGGTTATTTCAAATGTAAGTGCCTCTTGTAAAGACATTATATTTTACATTCTACTTTAGTGGACGAATTCTATTAAAATGCAGTGGTTTAACTTCACATTTTCCTTGTCTTAATTCTTGTAATAGAGCCTGAGTCATTGATCTTAACTTTCACAGCCATTGTTTTGGCTCCTTTGCCATGGCTTGATAATCTTTGACTATTATAACCATCTAGCCACTCTGCTTCCTGGTTCAGATCTCTCAAAAAATAGCAGCGCTGAAGTACTTTCTTGCTCTACAAACATTGCCCCTGTCGTTGGGCACTTCCACTGACATCCTGAGTACTTACTATTTAGTCTAATCACGACCGATTAGGTGCTATCATGTCATTGCCAGCTATTCATCTGCCTCTCCCTGTTCTTCGCATTGTGCCTTCTAATCTGCCCTCTGCCCCTGAAGAAGACCAGGTCACAGTTTGCCAATACTTTTGTCCTTCAGATTCTTCCTTTAGCCTCTCTCCCTTCAAATATAATCCCTCCTGATTTCTCAATAATCCCTCCTCCCACTGGCTCCAGATATGTAATCCAGTGTCATCTTTTGCTACGTCTACACTGCAGGCTTCTTGCGCAAGAATCTTTTTGGAAGAGATTTTCCACAAAAACTTCTTGCACAAGTGAGCATCCACACTGCAAAAGCACATTGGAAAAGCGATGTACTTTTGTGCAAGAGAGCTCTGATTGCCATTAACAGAATGGCCATCAGGGCACCTGTGCTTGTTTCAATTGGCTGTTTTTGCACAAAAAAAACCCGCTGCTCATCCCTCCACACCTTTTTGTGCAGTAACTCTTGAACAAAAAGGAGTTATTCTTCGTAGAAAGAGGAATACTACACCGCAAAAACCCTTCTGTTCTTTTGATTCACTAAATTTCTTTAGAGGAATACTACACCAGGTATGGACGCTGCACAAGTTTTTGCACAAAAACGGCTGGTTTTGCGCAAAAACTCTGCAGTGTAGACTTAGCTTTTGTTTAAGATCACAAATAAGTAAGGGGAGGACAGCAGTGCAGGAAACAGCTTGTCTAGAGGTTTTCCCTGCTGTTCCCATTGGCTTGAATCACGGCCAACGGGAGAAACAGAGGGTGGTGCCTGGGAGCATCCTGAAGTAAGTGCCCCTCAACTCCCCTCATGCCCAGACTCTGCACCGGCATCATGAACGCCCCTCCTGCCAAGACCCTGCAGTCCCGCCCTGCTCCCATGGGTGGCAGGTTTGTATAATTTTTGGTGGTGCCCCATTAGCCACGCCCCCCATTGGCCATGCCTCTGGAGGTAACATGCTTGGGGCAAGATGGACACATGACCAGAAGTAAAAGGTGTCATGTCACCCCGCCACCAAACCCCCCTCATGCAACTATCCTGCAGTTGCATTAACCCAACGTGTGTGACACGTGACATGCAACTATCCTGCAGTTGCATTAACCCAATGTGTGTGACACGTGAGGGCAGAGAGGCTGGGGGAAGTGTTTCCCTCTAAGTTTCCTCCCATGAGCAGAATGTATATCCATTAAGACCAGCGCAGTTACTCCTCACACCAGTCAGCTGGAGGAGAAACGGGGCTCACTGCCTCTTGGTCTAGGGATATCCAGGGCCCCTTTCCTTTCCTCAGAACTGAGAGGAGAGATGGAGAGGGCTGAATCCATTCAGATCAATCTGATTTTTGTGCTTTTTAAAAATATTTCTAACTGCAAAAACATAGTCAAGCCTTGGCTGATTTTTGTGCTTTTTAAAAATATTTCCAACTGCAAAAATATAGTCAAGTCTTGGCTGGCTAGGTGTGGGCAGTGGCTCGCCTGGAGGAGGTCTGGCTCCCTCTGCTCTGCCAGAATTTATTCCTGTACAGTGAGCCCTCGCTACTTCGCGGTTCGACCATCGCGGATTCACGACTTCGCGGACTTTTTTCATTACATTATGTATATACATGAATCCGCGATGGTCGAACCGCGAAGTAGCGAGGGCTCGCTGTATACATGTTAAATATACATGTCCCTACTTCGCGGATTTTCAACTATCGCGGTCGGGTTTGGAACCTATCTACCGCGATAAACGAGGGTTCACTGTAGTCATATTTTGGCAGAAGAGTCTGGCAGTTGGCAATATGCAGCTGGACTCAGACAATGGTATGGACTTTTACATCAAACATATCCAACCTATTGGGCTCTTTTTCTTTCCCCGCCCCAGCCAAGGTGGGCGAGAACAGCGTAGCTTGAAGGGAACTAAACGTTGCGGCTGGCTCCAGCCTCTCTCCTCCTGTGGCTGAGTCTGGGGGCAGCCAGATGCCCTAGCCTGCCCCATTTCACACCACCAACAGCAGTAAGGCACCGGCATCTGCTGGGCTGGTTCCCACCGGGGTGCACTGCCGGAGGCAGGGATTGGAAAAGCCCTGGTTGGATTACAGATGGGGGGGATCCCGCAGCACTCAAACAGCCCCCTCCACGGTGTTTCTGGGAGATGCTGTCAGGTGGGGCAGAGCCCAGGGC